ACACACGAGAAGAGCTTGATGATGAGTGCTTATGACCTCGCCTCTTGTGATGGTTTTCTTCTTCACTTGAAGAATCATCCCATGACCTTATTGTTGTGAGGGCTTTGTTTTTGCACGCCTTCTTCTTTGTCTTGGGTGTGGGCTTGTTTGGACAAACTTTCACAAAGTGCCCCATCTCGCCGCATCCGTAGCATCCTCTCTTTCTTTGCTCATTTCTTTGATTGGTGAAAATGAGATCTTAAATTTGGATGAGCACACCCTTGACATTGAGCCTTTGGATCATCTTCTCCACCTTGTTGATTAATTTGATTGATTCTTCATCAAGGTCGGAGGTGGAAGAGGAAGATTGATCATCATCACTTGATTCTTGTTCATCATCATCATCCTCATCTTCTTCTTCACTTGAGGAGATTGAGCTTGAGCTTGACTCAACTTTCTTGCCCTTCATCTTTTTCTTTTCGCTACAAGCGAGAGCTTTGCCTTTGCTTGATGAAGATGCTTCTCCTTGACCCATCTTACGTGACATTTCAAATGCCACTAGCTTGCCAATGACAATGCCCGGGGTCATGGTGCTCAAGTTCTCCATGTTGTGAAGGATGGTGATGATGCTTGCATATTTCTTTTGTGGTAGAACGGAGATGATCTTCCTCACGATGTCCGCATCATCTAGCTTTAATAATCCTATTGAATGGAGCTCATTGATAATTAGATTCAATCGAGAATACATATCACGAACAAGCTCATCATCATTCATAGCAAAGGAATCATAATTTTGCTTAGCTAGACAATGTTTTTGCTCACGGACATTACTTGTACCGTCATGGAGCTCTTGAAGTTTTAACCAAATTTCATGTGCCGTATTTAAGGTGAACACTTGGTTAAACACATCCATGCTAAATGATTCAAACAAGCAATTCTTAGCTCTAGCATTAAAATGCATTTCTTTTTCATCACTCTTTGTGGTTTTTTAAGGGATTCTTGATGGGTTTCATCCCCGTCACGAGTGACTCTCCATACACCCAAATCAATCGCCTCAAGGTGGCAAGCCATTCTAGCTTTATAGTATGGGAAGTTAGTGCCGTCAAATTGTGGAGGCCTAGCGGTATCCATCCCAACCACTCTACAATAGCGTCGGCTCAACGGCAAGTTAAGCCAAAGGTCCAAATATGAGCCAACCGGCTCGATACCACTTGTAGGACACGTGGATGCCTAAGAGGGGGGTGAATTAGGCAACTTAAAAATCTAACTCTAAACTATGGCCTCTTTTTTCTACCTCTAGCAAAACCTATGCAAAAGATAATCTATCTAGATGATCAACTACGGTTTTGCCAATGTGTTGCTATCTCTACCGCAAATGATAATAATATGATCAATGTAAATGCGGAAGCTTAAAGAGCGAGGTAGAGATATGCAAACTCCCGTCGACGACTCCGGTATTTTTACCGAGGTATCGAGAAGCGCGCAAGCTTTCCCCTAGTCCTCGTTGGAGCCCCTCGCAAGGAATCCCTCGCAAGGGCCAAGCTCCCAGTCGGGTAACTCCGTGGATAGCCTCGGGCCTTCCCCACGCGCAAGTGGGTCTCCGATGTGCCTTCCGGCAAGTCTCTCCCGGATGCTCCCCGCCGTTTTCACTATCAAGCTTTCGGCCGAAACTCCACGGGCCTTGTTCCCTTCGGTACACGGTGGCGGCCGCACCACAAACGCGGTTGGTGCGATCTCGCAAGACTTCAAGCCCCTCTGATGTACAACTCTTGTGCTCGCAAGCACGGGGTGGCAAGAGGTATGCAAACCTCACTAAACACTAGGCATACACCTAGAGCAAGCGCATAAGCGGTGGTCTAATCAACCTAAGTACTTCGCAAAGCACCTACGCTAATCACCTGATGAAACACTAAGCACTTAGCAAGTGGAGATCACTAAAATAGTGTATCAACACCCTTGGTATATTTCCTCAGCTCCACTATGTTCAAATGGCCGGTTTGGGGTTGTATTTATAAGCCCCATTGAGAAAGTAGCCGTTGGGGTCGAACTCCCGCAAATCACATCGACCGGATGTCAATCGTCTCGATCAGACGCGTGTTGGTCGTCCCGACCGTTGCAACCGCAAGACTACTCACCGTCGGACGCCGCCGGCGTCGTCGGTCGCTTCGCCACCGGACGCGTCGGTCGCTTTCCTCACCGGACGCGTCCGGTCAGAAGTTTCAGCGCGCTGGAACCTCTCGTACTTTCGATTGACGCTGCGTTCCCTACGTCCCGTCGGTTGTTGCCGCCAGCCGTCCGGTCCTTGCGTCCGGTCGCTTATCTCGCCGAGCCACGGTCCGGTCGTCCGGTCCGGCGTCCGTCCGGCGCGCTCTCATGAGCTCGTTTCTCTTCGTGATCTTGCGTCACGGCTTGGTTCCTATCTTCATGCTTGGACTTTGCTTGATTTCTTGGGTCTTCACTTGTGCTTCTAAAGTCTTGCTTGAGGTGTTGATCATCGATCATCACGTCGCGCTTTCGTCCAAGTCACGTCTTGCACCCTATTGGACTACAAAACAAACACTTGCAAATTCATTAGTCCAATTTGGTTGTGTTGGTCATCAAACACCAAAATCCAAAGTAAATGGGCCAAGGGTCCATTTTCCTTACACCACACATGTGACAAAGTTTGGCAAAAAATGATATGTGAAACGGGGTGCTAAGAAAATATGGCACGCCACAGTTGCGGTAGTAAACCAAACAGCTACCGAGAAAACTGTGGCATGACTGACCTTTGGTGTGGCGAGTTTTGATAACCAACCAAATAGGCCCATAGCCTTCAACTTCTCTACGATTGCCCTTGTCTCGTTAAGGGCTGCATTGTCGTGAAGGACGGTATCTCACCCCCTGCCCCGGTTGTGGCCTCGGGCGACGACCCTTACTATGTCGAGTGCCTCATACATGTAGCCAAACCTTCATCGGAGCTCTACAAAAGCGACGATCGCTAGTGATTGGCAATGGACTGACTACAATGCAGGTGAGGACTAAAAAGGTTAAAGTACATGGAATGGTCTCAATATTTTGCCTAAGGGACTTTAGTTTGTTCTAGCTTCGCATGGGCATGATTCAATGTATCCTCGATGGAAGGTCTCTCTCTCTCTTACTCAACAATGGACTTGCCGAGCCTCAAGGTTGTAACCTGCCTTCTTAGGGTCGTTGATTCGGCCTCAAGCACAGAAATCCTATCGGCTACATCTATGCAAGAGAAGGGTTAGTTGAGGATTGGTGGACGACATGAACCGAGGAATCAAACCTGAGGACTTACCCTCAACTTGTTCATTGTGCAGCCTTAGTCTAGGACACCCCTAGCTCCTTGGGTTTGCATTTCTTCTCCTTGAAGGAAGAAATGATCCTTGAGAGATGTTGAGTCGATAAAACCTAACTTCGCAGTAGTGTGGTCCAAAAGACCCTACGATATGACGAATCAAACTCAACGGTTAAGACCAAATACACGTTCCAACTGATCCTCACGATCAATCAAAGGATTGGGTGGCACTCCAAAATCCCATACGAGGGAAATTATACCTACCTAATGGCGCCTCCAATAGTGGCTTATGAGCTAGCTCTAGATATGTTATTTCGTATTTTAACAGAAGAGAGAAACTATTTATTGATCAAGAGCTAATCTCATGCACGCATTTCAAGATCATATGTGATTGTATTTGTGGTTATTTATATTATGAGTTATGTGATAAAAGTTAATACAACTGAAGAAGTTGTCTTAGAGCTAGCAACTAGCGTATATTGTGAGGGTGTCTTGAGCAAAACTATCTTCCCATCGATTCAAGCCATAGTAGAAGCTCCACATTCTCCAAGCAGGACTTTAAGCCCTCCCTGAGAAGACCGGCAACAACAAAAGCTGATCCCGCACCAAAGTACTCACCCACTTAACACCCTCAACTTCATCACTGACCACCCATTCTTTGGCGGGGTTTTGTTAGGGCTCTCTACGATAACAATTTTTGAAGCTAAACCAAGCAAAAAACGGTGAAGCTGAAGCTATTTTATAGCTAGAAGCTTTCCCTGGCTTCACTATTTTTTTATAACCTCAAGTCCTACTAGAGAGGGTCTAAAGTGGTCCCTTCCCTCCTGCTTTTTACTTGAAAGACTCAAACTTGCAATGTTTACAACAACAACTATCACAAGGATGCTACATAATGGAAGACTAGACATGAGATTTGTGTCTGCTAGGAACCATAATATAGAGCATGATTTTAGAAAATGCATGAAGTCTGGCATCCCGAGCTTTCCCAAACTACAACAATGACAACACACGAGGTAATGATCATGTCCATCCGAATGTTGACCAAGTCGCACACATTGGGTCGGGAGTTTAAGAAGCCGCACGCCGTATGCATACATCATCATCGTGATATCCCTTGGAAAAGAAAGTGTTGCTACAAAGTAAAACCACATGGTACATGTTGTTAATTTGCTATCAAAACTTGGATTATATTTTTATTTAGAATTTCCCGTGCATATTAAGTAAAACATTATTGTTGAGGTAATGTTGTTTGTAGTTTGCACATCATGTTACATGTTGATTCATGCTTTGGTCTGCAAGAATTTGTCTTAGCCTGCATCTTCTATTTCATATTTAGCCTACTTTTAGATTTTAGAAGAACATATAAAATAAAAATAATTCTAAGAAAGAAACAAATAGAGTATGATTTTAGAAAAAATGAATTAAAAAAAATATCTGTGAATTTTCAAAAGTTAAATAAGATTTTAATATTTTAAATGCATGTTTTTAAAAAAATATTTGAATGTTTTTGAATAAAATTTTCTGAACTATGGTGAATATATTTAGTTTACCTTTCTTGCATGTGACGTGGCACTATATAAGATGGTTGATGTGGCATTATGTTAATTGAAACTGTTTTCCAAACTGTCTAAAAGGACAAATCGAACACAGTTGGGCCTCGACCGATTTGTCCGATCTCTCTCCCGAGTCCACTCCAAGCCTTTTCCTCCGCCTTCTCGCGATGGCGCCGCCGCGCCGCGCTCTACTCGCCCTCGCCGCTCTCCTCTCCCTCTCCCTTGCTGCCGCCGCCTTTCAGTCCGACGAGCTCCTCCTCAACGACGACGACGAGTTCGAGGGCGTCGGCGCCCGCCCCTCCGCTCCCTCCCCGCCGGCGGCCCCGGCGGTCTCCTCCTCCCGCCGCAGATCCGCGGACGCGCCGTTGCCCGGGGCAGGCGAGTCCAACGCAGTGCAGTTCACGCTCGAGCACGACCTTGGCGGTGGCAAGGGCTTCGTCCCAGCTGGAACCTTCTCGGCCCGCCTCAAGACCTTCGCCCATGGCACGCAGGTGGGTCCCAGTCTCTCTTTGGTTGCTATCTCGATTGTTTGGTTGGTTCGCCTATATGGTTGGCCTGGTTACGCTCTGGTCAATGGATCTGGGATGGCTAGCTCTTAGCTAGTTCTGGATCGTGATTTCGGCCGCCGTAACATTATTCGTAGATGTTCTGTTCCTGTTAGCTTGGTCGAGCTGTTTGGCCGGGAGAGGTAGTGAATCATTTGCTTTGGATTGTTATGAGAAGTGTGAATCGAGAATCGGATCTTATGATGGTGTATGTCCCCTACTGAATTATAACTGAATGTTGTTTCCTAGCAGCACTCTCGGCGGCTTACAGCGTGTTTGGTCAGTGGAATGTCTCCATCTAGAATTATCTGATCTAGAAACCGAACCTCCTTGAGCTGTTTGGTTTGCGTCATGGGTTCATGTCGTCTGGCACCGTGTAGTACTCCTGTGATAGTGATTCCGCAGGATGAGTTCATTCTGCAAAAAACAGCGGGACCGACCCATTCTGATTAAACTCATGCCGCATGAGCCAAATCTGCAAACCAAACACACTGTTAGTTAGACCTTTCCCGGTACTTGAGTACTTCTGTAGTTCTGTGGGTAAGGAAAAAAAGACCAAGACTGACATTTTGGGCTTGGTGTGTTATAGTATAAACAACCATTTAAACTGTATGTGTATGACAGCACCGGTTATTAAGTGTTAGTGCAGGGCTGCTGGTTAGGGCACTACCCGTTTCATGCTTCATTTATTCACTCATGGACTAAAATTGTGAAATTATGCTGCAAGCAGGCAGTATTCTCCTGATTGTTCTCCATTTGGATGGTCACTTGCTGCTTATGTGGCCTTTCAGGCTGCATGACCTTACATTTACAAATACCTAACATATATCCATTGCCTTGAAGAGCAACCAAGATATAGCTGACTATTAAAAAAGACTATTGCTTTTATTTAAATTAGAAAAGGGTATAAGATGGTAATTAAAGAGCACTAATATCGTATATCATGCTGCCTCCAAATCATAAATCACAAGTAGATCCCGTGAAGCTTAGTCTAGGGTGACATACAAAATTTGTGGTTAATACCACTAGCATGGTCCTGAGGTTGTTTAGCTTGGAAATTACTTAGCATTGTCTGATTTAGACAAATGACATTTCCCCACCGTTAGGAAGCTGCTTTATATTTGGATAACTGAGTTGGTATTTGGTTATAAGGAGAGTATCCCAGGGACAGGAAATATTTGACATTAAATTAAAGACAGTAAATTGGCGTGTAAATAAGGAAATAAAGTCTTGAAACATTAGGCTGTCACCTGACTTCTCTTTTCTGTACTTATTTTCAAAACTATGTTCAATGTCTTTGTTTATCTTACATATTGCAGAATTTATTGGGTGGGAACATTGAAAACATCATCCCTTTTCGATTCATATGTTTCAAGATTTACAAGAATAATAATTAGATATAGACACCGGGGCTGGGCATACAACAGATTTTTGGTGTGGTCTGCTGAATCACCATTAACTAAGCCTGCATTTTTACCCTGTAGCTCATCAAATTACAACAGCAGCTCCTGCCTACATATATACTTAATTTTATATATGTCAGAAATAAACTCGGAACAGAATTAGTCCTGATGATACCTCGTATTTAATCATGGCCCTAGCACATCACAACCTTTTGCATGTATGAAAATATCTTATATGCATTAACTTCCATGTCTGTTCCTGTTAAGCACATGATATCCAATTTTAAATATTTTCTAGTTGTTTATCATTTTGTTACAATAATGCATACTCTATGCCTTTTAGTTGTAGTACTTTAGAGGGGGATAGTACACGGGATTGCAATCTGTTATGAACCGAACACAATCAAAATCTGACCTGCCCAAAACCTTCGTGGAATCATTCCTTCTCGTTTTAGCTCATATTTGCACAAGGCCTATTATTATAGTACTTTTTGTGCTTCATTATTTTGGACTTTGATGTCTGCCCCAATTTTCAAATGGCCCAAAATCACAGCAGCTTATCTAGAAGCTTTCAACAGTGTTTATTTAAATTGAACTGTATTGCACAAAAGTCAAAAAATAAAATGGAATGTGTATTCCTAACTGGGAGTTGGCAATATGATTTCACAGAGTTTAGTAGCAAGCCATAACCTGCCTTTGCAAAATGCAACATGCATTTATTAGGCTTGAAACTTTGGTGATCCTGCATTCTGTACATCATTTTGCTGTAGATTATTTTTTGTGTGTACTTTATTCACCATATATGATAAGATTTATTGTGAATTATGTGCTTCCAATTTATATTTACTTTCAATCAATGATGGTTGATACTTCTCTTAGTGCATCTTTGATCTTTATGTACTTTTGGTTATGTTTGCTAGTGTTCCAATTTAATCATTGGTGAATAATCAACCACCTATGCTCACTGTAGGTCTGTAGATATGAGCAAGAGAGCTAAATTTCTTATTTGACTTATGTTAATGAATTTGTTAGATATCTAGTTTCTCACTTCAACAGTAAATGCTGTAAATGCAAGCGAGGAAAACTATTTCCCTAACTGTACTATTCTTATGGATCAGACCTCACTAAGCTTCGCTTTACAAGGAATGATTTAACTGAGGATGATAAAGTGGCGTTCAAAGTAACTTCTTGTCCACCACAGTTTTTACCCTGATTTCCTTGATGACTTATTTTTTTCAACTAATTTGGTGCTTATGCATTTGTTTGTCACTGAAGAAACTGCTTCAGGAAGATGGCTTTTATACAATTAGGCTGCCATCTAATGTGTTGGACACTACAAAGAAACATAATGTTGTTTCTTCAATCAAAGCTGTAAGTTGACTACTGAGTTCATCAGTGTGTTTCTCTTTACTATAATCATAAAATAAGCTCAATACTCCAATTATCGGTTCTTCAAATCATTGTACGAACGGAAACCTGAAAAATAAGGTATGTTTTAAAAGGTGTCCCCAAAGCACTCCTTTTATTTAGCACCTAGCGTGTACATTTTTTGTGGAACAATCAATAAATAAAGCAATTAAATTGGTTATAAGAAAAAACCACTGCTTGATGTATTGCAAAAACTATGATGTTGAACTATTGATTTATTGTCTGATTCTAGAGTTATCCATTTCAGTTCTTTAACTGTCTTGACTTTCTTATGTTTCTTAGAGATGCATTCCGCGTGACAGTTTGGATGAACACATTGTTATCCACATGGTAACTTTCTCCATTTCATTATTTCTATTCATATATCTTCCTCTTTAAAGAGTTGTTTATGATGATGGAAAATTTTGGGATAGCCCAGAAACTTTATGTATGTATTAACATCAATTGATGCATTTAGCTAACTTTATTTTGTTTTACATTAGCACCGCCCAAATCTCCAGTATTGATAGAGAGCAGAAGATGCACCTTGTGCTCATTTTTTCTAGCACCTGTACTGATAACATAGCATGTTGATTACACGAAGTTTCTAAACATTTTCTCTATCCTTGTCATCTATTCCAAGTAGCTGCATGGAAAAAATGTTATTTTTTCTTACTGCAGCCATTTGGAGAATTGCATTCCATTTAGCTTTGTAGAATACCTATAGAAGTTTCCTTGGTGTTGCGACTCACATTATACTTTGCTATTGCCTTATTTGCAGGATGGTGTAAATATTTTGGCAGTCAATTATGGCTCTGTTGGTGGATGCCAATACCCTAGGCCAATGAAATTGGTTAGTTTTCTTTCAGGATTTATATTATGATTTATGAGTGTTCAACGTAATTAATGATTGATAGAAGGATCCTGATAGCCTTTTGACATTTAAATATCCTGAAATTAGTAATGTTCACATTATAGATTGGCCTGCAATCCCATACTTCTTCCTCATGGCAAAAGAAAAAGAGAAAAGAAAACTGTTAAGAAACGTGTTATCTGCACTGGTTACTTGTTATTGATAGGGGTATTTGCTTTGTTAATTAGTAGGGCTGGTACAAATGATTGTTTCAAAATTACTTTGATGAAATAATTCAATTTTGTATGAATGTCAACTGTGATTTGATTTGGCTCTGCAGATTAGATTGCTCAAAATGGGTTAATTTAAGTTGACATTGATTAGTTAATTTTGACTGAAGCACGTTGAAATGCTTATTAGTTTAATGTACAACACTATTAATGTATTAACAAATTTCTCAAATTAAACTTTTTTTTCCTAACGGTAAAGACCGAATTTCATTACCAGAGCTTGAAATTACAGAGAGTATCAGGTTTGAGCCATAACAAACAGTCATGAGTTGATTTACATAACCTATTCATGCTTACGGTCACAGAGGGAACATACGCATGGATACCGACCATCAGAACTACGATAGATGTAACTACCCAACGACAGTCCAGAACGGCAAATTACAAGACAAAAGCGACATTCTGAACTAAGCAGAGTCTATCAAAAAAGGCTCGCAGCGCTCCTGCACTGCTCGAGCGCCAGACGATGTGGTTCATCCTGCTTATGGAACCAGCTGGTGTTCCTCCTGAGCACAGCTCTGGACGTTCTGCCTGTGAAAGAAGATAGCCGCCGTCTTCACCGCTTCAGCTCCTTGAGCGGCTTGATGCTTCCACTCCTCTGTTAACAGACCTGCCCAGTAAGTGAGAAAAGAGCAAATCATACACACAATCTCAGTAGGAGATTTGACTCTTTTATTTTCAAAACACACAGCATTTCGTGAGCGCCAGATTGCCCAACAAACAGCAGCCAAGCCCACAGTATGCATTACAGCCCCTTGAGGTAAAATCTTATCGATCCAAAACCAACACTGATCCAAATTGGAAGGTCTGCAATCAGCCCCCAGCGAAAAAGCCAGAAGGCTCCAAATGTATTTAGCAGTCATACATTCAAAACAAAAAGGCTGTGAACCAATTTTTTGATCTAAGTCTGTCCTCACAATCAAAGGGTTGTGATCAGACATGTATCTTGGTATCTTCCTTAAATTGCAGAGGGAACTCAGCTTCCCAATCACCAGAGACTAGCACCCTATCCAACTTCTGTAGTGTGGGGTTCTCTCTATTGTTACTCCATGTATACTTTCCCCCCATTTAAAGGAATCTCTCTGAGCTCATAAAGTTGATGATGAGATTAAAGAGAGAAGAAAAATTATTCTCAACAAATTTCTTGTTCTTATCAGAACTATACCTCAAAATCTTAAAATCTCCCCCCATCAGCAAAGGGTACTTTGCCTTGAAGCAAAAATTTGACAGTTCAGACAAGAAACTTTCTCTAGACTCATCATGAGCAGGGCCATAAACATTGGCCAGAGTCCACTTCTTTAGGTTTTTATCAAACACATCAGCTGTAATAACATATTCTCCATTTTCAATTTTTTCAATATCAAATCTATCTTTTTTAATCCCACTTAGCATGCCACCAGACTTGCCCTTTGAGGGAGTCCAGTGCCAACTGAACTCCTTGGCATTGTCAATTTTCCTAAAGAATTTTTCAGAGTAGGACTTTTTCATAGTCTCCTGGATGCCAATAAAATCAACCTTATGGTCCCATATAAGCTCTTTAATGTAGGAGCTTAGACCCTTCTTTGCCACCCCCCTACAGTTCCATATAATTCCTATCATTTGAAAACTTTCTTGATGGTGTTCCTATCTCTGAGATTGAATCTAGGGCTAACCTTGGATTCATCTCTTTCTTGTTTGCAAGGGCCCACAGCAGGGTGACCCTTGTTCCCTCTGCCTTTTTTTTTTTATACTTTTGGAAGATCTACTCTTCCTAGCACTAGGAAACGACCACACAGGGGTCCTCCTCAGAATCATCAGATCCCCAATTTAGCACATTTTGATCGTTTTAAGGGAAGAGGCTCTTCCTCCAGACTACTTACTGGGTCAGATGTCATATTTGTATGTTCATTAAGTTTCATTCTAGCATTTTCCAGGTCCTTAAGAACATCAATTTTCTCATATGAAAGAGACTCGGTATGAATCCCCATTTGAGACGCAAGAGAAATAATTTGCATATTAGACAGAACTGCAAAGGAGTTCTGGTCATGAGATTCCATACCTTCAACCTCCATGGCTGTGGTTTTGTTGTTCTGAGCTTGCTCCACCACCTTTGCTTGAGATGTTCCATTGTCCCTCAGCCTCTTGCTTTGCCTCACTTGTTGCCACACTGACCACCCATCTTGTTTGATGCTTTGTTCTTTCTCCAATGCTTGAGCTGAACTATTGTCTTGCTGTTCCCAAACATTCACCCTTTCCTGATTCTTAGCACCTTCACTGTCTTTGTCATTCTGAATCACTTCTTCCACTTGCTCCCCCTCATGTGATGGCACCACCATGTCTGCCTTAGCTATCACCATTTCTTCATCCCTCTTGTCATGGGTTCTGCCATTCCCAATCTCCAACTCAGTAACTTCAGACTCCCGACCGTTTTCATCTTGGATGAGATCCCAGTCAATATCTTGACTAGTTTTCTGCAGAGCCTCTTCTTGACTAGACAGATCAACCTCAGGCGCGCCCTGACTCCCCTTGGCTGGACTTATAGAAACAGCTCTATCTTGAACACTTTCACCTTCCTTGTTTTCTTGTATTGTATGCAACCCTTTACTAGATTTAGTACCAATCATATAATCCTCCAGCTGAAAGATTTTAGTCTTGCCACAATCATGCAGAGCATTCTTAGCTTCTATAGTTTTGAGTGGATCAAATTTAGAATTTTCCAGATTGGAGCCATATTCATTAATCACTGCAAGAGCATCCTCATTCACAATTATGGTACTGAGCATCCTGATCTCCACATTGTCAAATGATCCAAACCTCAACTGCTCTGAACCAGGCTGAACAAGATCTCCCATTAAGAGTGCTTCATCCTCACTGTCCTCATCTACGCTTTCCAGCTGCACATTCTCTTTCTGTTGAGATACATTACTATCAACTTGCTTTCCTTTAACTACTCCACTAGACTTGCTTGTACCAGCTTCAAACGACTGAGCAGAGCTCTTGGCAGGATCCATTTTTTGTTTCTTAGGATATGGGAGATCATCTTGAGGCTTGTTTTTGTCATTTCTAATCCATGTATTACCAGCAGGGTTGGTGAAGCCATCTTGTGGAACCTCTCTCTGGAAAAAATAATCATAAAAGTTGAAATCAAGCAAACCATCAACTGATGCAGGCACCTTGGTGACATCTCTACAGCCAATCTTGACTCTCACGTAGTCATTCTTGTTCAGATTTTCCACATCTACCTCCAGTGGTAAACCCACCTTGGATGCCACCATACATACATTGGAGTATGACCTCTTCTCATATGTAATGTTACTAATTCTGAACCAAGCCACATCCAGGGCCCCCTTAGAGCCAGTTGCTGGGTTCCATTTCTCAACCTTACAGACAACATCAGGCATAGACCTCATCCTCAGTTCAGTAAAATGGGCTAGATCGTCAATGGTCTGCGCATTGGGAAATCTCATCTGATATTTGCCTTCCCCAATTCTATTGGCAAACCAGCGCCAAGTAGAGTTTGGACCAGCCTTAAGTTTAAACTCATTTTCAATTTGTCTGCCATTGGCCTGACCAGATGTTATAGTTATCAGAGCAGTAGACGACATATCCTTAATTCCCTCATCAGTTTTTGCACTTTCAATAACATGGAAACCTTGTCCATAGGCTCATAGCCCACAAAATGGTGAGATAAACTCCCAGGGCATTTTAGCAGAGCATACTCTCGACACATGACCTTCTTTGTTACATCTAGAGCATACAACAGGGTTAGGACATGCATTTGAAACATGACCTACCGAACCACACCTTTGACAGAACTGCTGTCTTTCTGGATGCTCTCTAGGAGCTTCTCTTTCCACTTTCTCACCACCCTGACCAGTTTGATCCTCACTCACAATGATCTGAGTAGAGTTATTGACAGAAGTTTCCACTTCAGCAGATTCTGTTTTCTGGCTAGGATTAGACTCCTCTTTCTGTTCTCCCTGCGGCACTGTAATCTGCTCCCTTGCTTGATTCCCCACACCCCTGTTTTCACCACGCCCCCAGTTGCCTTGGAACCTTCCGCCGCCGCCGCGGCCACCCCCACAAGGAGCCCATCCCCGGTTCCCTTGCCAACCTCCATAGCCACCACGATTACCATAGCCAGAATTGAACCTCCCGGGGTAAAACGTACGACGATCCATAGCCCTACTAGGCTGCGGAGGAGCCTGCAGGACCTACACAAACGATCTAGTGTCACCGCCTAGAGTCGACCAATTTGTTCTCTCCGGATAAGCACCACGAAGGGGAGCAATCTCCGGCAGAGAGGAACGCGCATCCACCACCTTCCGCACAGAGATCACCCCACAAACCCCAACCTCAGAACTATGCTTCCAGAGATGAAGCCGCGCGCCCAAATCAGTATCAGGATGGTCACGTACCTCGTGCGGCAGCCGAACTTTCCTCTCCTCCCGCCCCTCGAATCTAGAGGATTCGCTAGGGTTTCCGCCTTCACCAGAGGAGACGGAGGGAATAGAGTGGAGATGAAGGGTTGGCGAGGATTTGGGGTCCTTATTCGATACAGAACTATGGTCTACGACCCTACCACCCGGTCGCCATGGCCCAGAGGACAACGACTGCAGAGGAGTCGAGTCATGGACCGCGTCCGTGGAGGGCGAAGCCGACTCACTTCCGTGCTGCGCGCACGAGCCAGCCACTATAGCTTGGGCCCGCCGCTCGGACTCGCCCCGCTCGCATGGTGTACCCACACTCGAAGGTGTGCCGCTCCCGTCGCCATGGCACGAGTCGCCCGAGTCGCCTGGGTCTCCCGTGTCGAGAGGAAAGAGACGAGCCATCCTCAATCGTATCCGTGCTCATTTGCCCAACCTTCTCAAATTAAACTGTTGAGAGTTGTTCAATCTTTCACCAAACTATTACAACTAACACCTCTAGCACTTTTTTGATCTTCTGTGGTGCATTCATTGGTGATTAATAGTTTTTAAGTTTATGGTGACATATTGGCATGTTTAATTTTTTGTTTCAGCCATCAAAATGGACATTCAGCTCTTACACTATCCTAAAGACTGCTGAACAGGCACCAAGGTAAATTACTACTTTGTTGAGATTACAAAAATATTAAATAAATAGATTATTATAAAGCTGGTAATTTGCTTTAATAATAGAAATAGTTTGAATTAAGAAATCTCTTTAAGGGCATGCGCGATAGATGCTTAAAGAGGGATAATGATGAAGCACATTACTGGAATCTCAGTATCCAATTTAAGGGCATGCACAAGGCAATAGATGATTAATAAAGAGAGATAATGATGAAGCACCACTACAAGAATCTGCGCATCCAATGGGGAAAACAATTTTATTTATGCTTAGACAAGACCAATGTTTTCAAGGCCTCGCCTAATAACAGATCCTCGGTATCCCTGTTGCCATGCCAAAATAAGTGGGCAGGAGGGATTGAAGGAGGGAAAAGATAGGAAGAACAAGAGGGAGGTCAACCATCAAGGACAAGCAGCCACTGCAGGCACCATCCTTTCTCCCACCTTATTCTTTCCTCTTTTTGTCTTCCACCACTTGGCTCGCCTTATAATCACTTCGTCACACAGTTATTAGGACCGGACCGGACATCAAACCGGTGAGGCTGTCGGTTCACTGGTTCACTGGTCCAACCGTTAGGAACCGGTTGAACCGCCGGTTCAATTGTTTTGGACCGGATGAATTGGACCGCCCACAAATACTTTGAACCGGTACAACATAATGATATACAACATATAATTAGCAACATATAGTTGGTCACATATATACCGATAAGATGATAAAAACACAATTATATAACCAACTTCCAACAAATCTAGCCACAAGTCCACAAATTGTTTGGTATTATAGAGTTTTTTTATAGGATATGCCAAAATATACCCATAGAAACATAGTATATGGAACACTTATTAATTAGTACAAAAAAGATCTAAATAGTAATTCAAATATTCATTATTGTAAAACAATCTCAAATGCTAAAATAGAGTTTACCATTGTAAAGAGCTCGTTGGGATAGTCAAAATGGATATATCATTTGTTTAATTTAGAGCGTACCCAGTGCAGAGAGCTCCCGCTCTGTGCGGGGTCTGGGGAAGGGTGTCAGTGGCAAGCCTTACCCTCGCCTGTGCAATGCAAGGAGACCGCGACTCGAACCCGGGACCTTCCGGTCATAGGCGGTAAGACTCTACCGCTTGCACCAGGCCCGCCCTTCATTTGTTTAATTTAGAGATCATATAAAAAAGTTATCATATAAAAAAGTTATGAAAATTTGAAATTCAAAAGGCAACACACATGAGCTGACGTTAGCAATACAAAAGTCAACAGCACATGCAGAGGCAAGGTATGCACACTGTACAGGCTCCAAGTGCACACAGCGGCAGCAGCACTCATGCGGGCCCAGTGGCAGCTGCACAGGCGGGCACCAGGAGGCAACGCAAGGGAGCACACACGCCACCAATCCAGAGCCGGACGGTTTGACATGGAACCGGCCCGTTCGCCGGTTCAGTAAAAAACCGGCCGGTTCAACCGGTTTTTACCAGTTTGATTGCATGGACGGTCTTTTAAGTAAACCGAACCGCTGTAGTCTCTGGTTCGGTCTTTTACCGGTCGGACCGGCGGTCTGACCGGTCCTAATAACTATGCTTCGGCATCGCCTAGGCGGTTAGAAGGGGGTGGGTCACCATGCATCGCCTTTACCACCTTAAGAACACTGGACAAGACGAAGTCTATATAAGCTTCCACTTGCCTCTGTGCTAATCATAGTTGAAATGGTAAACTTCCACTGCTAATCACAGTAGGAGCACCTCACTAATTGTTCCCGTGTATGGCTTGGTCTGGGCATCAAATGCCTCATCATGCTACTATTCTTTTGTGAGAACATCCACATCCACTGAGTTCCACAATGGCAAAAATTGGGAGGATCCATGTGTTGTGCATGACCTAACAGATCTATCCCTACTGGAACAGTCTCAAAGAAGTTTCCGAATTCTTACAAATTTTTGTGCTTGCAGAACCCCATCATTTGCGGATCAGTTAATAGAAGCTGACAATGGTCTTGGCGAAGTAATGAAACCACCTGAGAAATCTTTCTGGGCTAAATATGTGAGTAACTGCACTAAATATCTTCTGTACTTTGTTCAATATCTTCGTGTTTGTGTGTGTGTGTATGCATGTTCCTTCAGTCTGACTTGTTTGTTTTGCAGTGGATGTACATCATTCCGCTTGGTCTTATTGTCATGAATGCTGTTACGGCAGCGGCCAACATACCAGAGGAAGCTGCAGGGCAGGGCCAACCTGGAGCAGAACGGGCACCTGCTGCTGCTGCCGGGAGGAGAAGATGATGGCTGCCTCTATGTTTTCCCATACCGTAGGTATTATCATCCGTTTAACTATCGTCACATTGTTTTCTGTTTTTTTGGGTATGGTGTCAATATTACCTTGACTGCATCATCTGTGGTACTGCATGATGATGCCATCTTTTGCTTGTGTTGAAACACGTAGCTTATGCGTATCCAAGATGAATTGATGTGGTTCCTATACATCTATAGCCATTTTTGGTCACTAGTTTGCCATTGGAGACCATAAACTTTAGGACCTGAAGCCTGTCCACACATCATTTGCAGTGATGACTTCATACTTGATGCTGTAGCAAAAACACTTATTAATTTCAGCTGTTGAATTTCCTGCTGATAATTCATGCTTTCATTCCTTGTTCATGCTGAGAATTTATTCTTTGTTTTAGTAAATAAATTATTAGTTTTTGGAATGATGAGCTTGCTTCTAGCTTCTATCTAATTTGAAGCCTTGTGACTTTCAGATTCATGGGTAATGGTAGGAGATTGAACCTGTCTACCTGGCTAGAAGAACTGGAGCTGTACTTACACGACTCATACAATAGTGTGCGCTGATGGGCTTTCTTTCTTTTCCCTGGCTGTATTGAGCTGCTCTGTTATAGCAGAATCAACTTCAATGGTGTGGTTAAACACATTTGTTGTTGAGAAACTGCGATCAATCTTTAACACAGTTCGATTATATGTTTTGATATTAAGTAGTTTGATATATGAAATTTGAATGCTGGATGCATTGTTAGACCACCCTTATTTTGTAATAACGTAAGTTGTTAACGTGGCCAATATTCTTGTTGCTCGAAAACAAAAGCTACTAAAGATGGAGAAGCCACATTGGAGTGGCTCTACTTGCACAGGTAAAAAATGGATTCAGCTGCTTGCGGAGTTGTTTGGTAGGGTTTTTGCTCGAGCTGCGTGAGATGCTGAAGCTACTCAGCAGTCATGCCAAAAGGCCCTTAAGGCTTCACAACACAGGGTGTCTTTCAAACAGATACTTTAGTAGTAGGCCAAGACGAAAAACTTCTAAAGGTTTTGGATGTGCAACTCATGGTTGATTTATGAATACGCAAGGCATTGGATTGGTTCACCTTTGGGGGTTATCTTTTATATTCATTACCCCTTAATTTAGATTCTCGGTAGGAATATAGGGTTTTGTTCGGTTGTTCCTCTCTGTCACCCATGGCTCCATTTTTCAGCATTGATGCCAACTCCTTTCTCTCTATGGCTTCTCATTAGCACCAATACATATACATGCTCTTATGCACAACTATGAGAGACGGTTTTTGAACATGAAATTAATAAAAAGTGCTAGAGCAATCATCCAATTAAGAGTGATTTCTCAACAAGGATAAACCACAATGAAATCTTTCATAGTAAGTGAAAGTTGACCAACAATGTCATCGCCATTACAACTAATAGTTCAGGTCAATATTCAAAACATAAAGTGATAACAAACTCTATGTTCCAACACAAAATAATCAAAATTATGAAAGATGCTACAAATATTGCCCACCATGAATAGTTGTTATTTTTTTAGAATATGAATAGTTGTTATTGGATAGATCAACAAACTGTTCCATTCCTGCAAAATAAAAACATAACGAGAATTGAGTCCATGTGACTACATGTCTAAATAGATAAATACACATGGAAAGATGATAGGAAAGAATACGATAGTATGTGTCTTTTTCCTGATAAATAAACTAACGATATTCAAACATGCCAAAGTATGAGTAAGATCACTATTTCTCAAGTTCATAACATTAAAACAATTTGTTTTTAAAAATACATCCATAGTTATGTAAAACACAAATCATGGAATTCAAACCACCAGTTCATAACAATGGTAAGCCAAAACATCTATATTTTTTTTGAAAAATTAAAACATCTATATTAATCAGCATGGATGGTTGTTCTATTAATCCAGGACCCATGCTACAGATATGAAGCCATCCAACTTACATGATCTGTGTATATACTCAATATTTTACATGGGACCATGCCTGCTGTATCCAAAAGTGCTTTTTATATTCATGCTAGCATGTACTATACAAGCATAGACAAATCTAGGAAAATTTCACCTAGTGAGCCAAATAGCAACTTATTATTGAGAACTGTCAGTATAGATGTTTTGCAATCTCACATAAAAGAAATTCAGTGCTAAACAGAAGAAAACATCAAGCACTAGGTACTGAAAATGTAGTTTGACTGTGAGCTTAACATGATTACAGAACTAGGATACATGGTTGTATTTTCTCTATTGAGCGCATACTTTCATGTAGATATAGGATCCATGCACATTTATATGAAATTTCATTCCAGCAACGGCATGAGGAGGTAGATAATACAGTAATATAGTGCTAATTAACCTAAGGCATGTGATGCATGGTTTAATAACTCAGGCCTAAAGTAGTATTATAACCCAATAGTCATGACAAATTGCAGACATAAATGGAAAAGGGATTATCTTTCTCAAAAAAGGGATGCATTACAAGTATTAAATTTAGAACTTGAGCAACAAAAAATCTGTAAAATTCATGCAAATATTGCCTACTGCATCCAGTCCTCGAGCCTTACAACTGATGTTGGAAAGATCATAAAGGTAGCAACCAACTTATGAAATAATTTCAATGTGAGGCGAACTTACCGAGACTTGTCAAGTGGGTAGAAAATGTATCCGACATGATGGCCCGGTTGGGTTCAGCAATCCGCTGAATATGTTGTAGCAGAATGGCAAATATTTTTATATATTTTATTTAAGGGCAACAAGGGTGGGATCAAATTTTCAAAGATGACGATGGAGTATGGGATTCATTTTCCAAACACACAACAACAGAGGATATTTTGATGATAACAGTGCAGATTCATTTTTGTGCATTTTTCAAGGGAAACAAAGTGAAGAACCATTTGTGAAGTGTGACAAAGGTGGGTGTTTATTTGCTGAGGGATAATTTATGATTGGCACAAGGGAACATAAAACAGAGCACTTAAGAATCAAAATAGGAGAAGTGAAGAAATGTGTAGACTGAAGCAAAACAGGAGCGATCGACAAAATGACTCGGAGTAAAAAAGAGGGCAGCGGTTGTGCAAAAGTTGAAGTGAACGACTAGCTGACGATCATGCAAGCAAAAGTGGATGCGCAGCTCAGGCAAAAGAAACAGGGGACTGGGGGAGGGCGTTGGAAGGATGACTCCCAGTCTTAACTGCAAAAAGGCAAAGCAGATACGTCAGATGAAAGGAACAAGCAAAACTATAGGTGAGCATTAATTTCTCAGTGATTGTATTCCCTTTCCTCAGACACCTCGTGACCATCTTTGTTCTCATCCTTTATCATCCACCCTTCACAAGTTCTTGAAAGCTCAAGCGTTGGATGGTTCGGAAGCATGTCGACCGCATCCCTGACCTTGCCCTCGACATCCTCCACCTCCTTAATTCGGGCATCCTCACAGTTAACATGGACGGTGACGTGTTTAAGTGAAGCAAGTTTTTCCAAGCGAATATCAAAACCACCACCTTCCCTGTTTCGTACTTCAAAGTATAACTCAAGCCTTTGAAGCTTTGGCATCACTCCTCGAGCAAACTCCAGCCAGCATCTTGTGTAGTGCCTAAGCTTAAATACTGTTAGAGAGCGGAAGGGGTGATCAGCACCAACCACCAACCGTTCTTCGGCGGTGGTGCCATCGGGATCTACTTGTAGTTGAAGAAAACGTAGCACGGGCAAAGCTCCAAGCAGTTCGAGATCCTCCTGTCTTAGCAGATTGACCCACATGGACAAGCTGGAGAGTTCAGAAAGGAAGGGAAACCACCGTGGCACCTGGGAGAAGGTTAAATAATCCCCATCAAAGCTTTGGAGATGTGCAGGGCCCGTCCATTGGTCTGGCATGTCTAGGGAGCATGTTCCGTTTCCTTGAAAAACTAGTGTGCGAAGGTTGACGAGATTGGATAGTGCCTGTAGAAATGTCTTCACATAACTCTGGTCTTCTTCTAAGCCATGTATTCTCAGCACCCGGAGTTTAGTAAGGTTACCAAGTCTAGCCATAGCATCTGGTGACTTTTTCACGTATAGCCGTGACAACACTTGTAGGGATATTAGATTTCCAGTCCCATCTGGAAGTTTCACCGCGGTAGCAGTTAGCAAATTTTGAAGTTGTCGTAGCTGACTAATGCTTTCTGGCAATTCTCCTTTGAATCGGCCCCACAAATCCAATGTCCCGAGAAGCTTTAGGTTTCCAATTCCTTCTAGAACCTTAGTTTCAAGCTCACCTCCTAGTTCAAGATATCTCAAGTGGTTCATACTTCCTAGATCGTTAGCTTGAATATTGTTGCTGGACTCGGTTTTGAAAGCCAAAACACGGAGAACTGGAAACTTTGACATAGGTGGCATCCACTGAACAGCATCACCAAAAGCAACGACTGACCTGACATGGGATATGTTCACTGTTGCTGGGAAAATCATTTGTTCTTCCTTGCTATCGCTCTTGCTGCCTCGCAGTGATAAGCGTCGTATCTTGCATGCTGTAGATATGTGGCACGGCCCTTCTAATATAGTGACAAAATTTTCTTGAGCTGAAAGGGAAATAATGAGATCAAGTATCATATCATGTACTCGACAACCTCTTGGACTACCATTCTCATATATTGGTTGAATCATGCTTCTGTTGATAAGCTCATTGAAATAACTCTCGCCAAGATCATACAAATTACTCCCTTGTTTTTCATCAATGAAACCTTCTGCTATCCAAAGCCGTACCAAGTCATCACTTGGAATCTCATAATCCTCAGGGAACATGCTTAGATATAGTAAACACGGCTTTAGATAGGAAGGCGGATCAGAATAACTAAGATATAAGATATCTCTCATGTTGTCAAGGCTCTTGTCCTTATGAAGTCCAGAACCCATTGAACTGTATACACTATACCATTCATACTTTGTTTTGTTTGGCCTACTGGCCAACAAACTAGCTGTAGTAATGATTGCTAATGGTACCCCACCG